TACTTTTTGATAAATAATTCGTTCTTATTGCGAAATAGGAGCACTATTTATCAATCTGTAATAAAAGACGTGAGGAAATTCTGCCTTTTTTAAAGGCAAAAATTTTTGAGGCAAAATACCCAACAAGAAGTTTATAAAAAAATGAATCCGCCTCAACAATATAGAACTTATCTACTTTATGTGTAAATGTGTTATGCACCCCAAAGTGCGCGGTTTCACCAGTGGTTTGACCGATTTGACCAAGAAATCTCTGTTTCAGTTTGGTGAAAGTCCAGAACAAATTGAGCAAAGCGGCCGCTTGTTTAGAGTACTTTACCATGCAAGAGTGGGAGTTTGACGACGCAAACGTGAGCGCGCTCAGCGTGAGTCTGAGCGACGCCGATAGAGCCGAGTTCTGTTTCGACGTGGCCAAAATCAACTGGGAAAACTACTTAGAAAACTATATCCTGGGCATTAGGAGGTGAGTGCGTGTCTTCCGTCGCCGCTCTCGGTCTGAATGCGCCGCTTGCAGGTTTATCTTCAAAGAAGACACTTCGTCGATCCCCAAAGCCCGCAAACAAATCTCCAAACTGTACATCGCCTATCGGCTGCTGCAGGTGGTGAGCGTGATGATCACTTGGCACTTTTTGGCCCTCAGGTACTCTCCCTATTGCCACCCACATTGGTTCTTTCCCCTGTAAAATGCTTGGTTGTTTGCAGGTATGCGCCGTTGAGGCGACTCTGGTCAAACGCACTCCGGTTACTGCTGCACTTCGCTAGTATGCTGCCATTCGTGTAAAGTTAGTTTAAGGACTTTATCAAATTTAAGCTGCATTGATTGATCGATGAGGCGACGATGCCGCTGGAACTTTACTGTGGAGGCTCATAGTACGGTTCTTTGTAGACGGGGCAACGGTTTTTCCCCACAACACTCGGTTGTTGATTGGGGCTGTTTGCAACCAGAAGCCGTATTGCTTTTGCGGGCAGATTTACAAGCTTTTACGTCGGTTTTTTCTATTTATTCAACATACAAACCAGGTCCTTCTACAGACGACCCTCCACAAGGTTCGGATTTTTTGATAAAAGCTGATCTAGTTGATATTAGCAAAATAATTCCAAACTACTGGCTGTTGTGCGCGAAAGGTGCCCAGTACAAACTAGCCCGCCCAAATGTAAGAGAAACGTTGTCTCTGTCGGCCAATTTGCGCTCCCCATTTTTAAGAGAAAATCCGAAGCGTGCTTCGACTTGTTTATTGGCTTCCCCGGTCGCAATTGAACGCACAAAAACTTCTAAAAAAAACGAGCACTCGTTAATAGTGTACCCAGATCAAGCGCTGATTGGCCCGCAGCACCGACGACGTTTCATCCAGCTTATTTAAACCATATTGTTACATATTGGCTTTGTTTAGGTAACTTATTGAGTCATGTAAATGTCGGTTAGCGTTTATCGTTTTTATATATACGATCATTTGGAGAGCGCCCATTCGAAACGTCGCGTGTATGTAATGTAAGTGTTAATGGCGAATTGGCCCCCCCAAATGGGGCTTTCTTCCCAGTCGGCAGCCCCTCGATGTTCGTTCAGAATTGTAATCGCCTTTGGCTGTAGATGTGCGTCGGCAGGGCGGTCGGGTTTTTCATTGCGCTCATCCTGTTGTATGGCAAATTGTCAAACAAAGCTACTTTTCATGGGGATTTTTCCATATCTGCCTGATGAATTTTTACTTTGAGCGATTCTGGTAGTAGAAAGCTAAATGACCAGAACGGCTGAAAGTATCCAATTAGATTTTCGGCCTGTATTTCCACTTTGCTTCCTCCAAAAAGCAATTTTTCTCGAAAACTCCTTTGGTTTATTCGGGCGTTTCCAGGTTTTCTCTTCGTTCAATGCCAAGAGTTGTTGCCTGTTAAGCAATAAATAATAATTTGTCATAGTTGGGTGCAATATATGTAAATCACC